GGGTCTCACTACTAGATCAGACTCCTAGTGACCCACCTGTTTACAGCCTCCCAAGAGCTGGGATTACAGGCACTTGACACCACGCCCAGTCTCAATTGCAGTCTCAGTGTGCGCCAAGGGTGGGGCCAGCACAGCAGGCCTAGGAATCTAACCCCTGGCCCCTGCACCTGCTTGCAGGTGCTTTAATCTGCTGAGCTAGTTGGCCCACCCTACACAGATTATTTCTATTTGTATTCCCAGACTTAGCGAATAACAGAAGCTAACAAAATGCTGAACGAAAGGGGATAATGAATTAAAGGAATCAGACACTGACCTTGTTCACAGCAGAATCTATGCACTTAAACGTAATTATGTTCAAATCAACTGTTAAAAACATTAGCAAACAGAGTAGGTAGGGCTTGGGGAGGGATGCCGATCAGCGATGTACTATCTCCCACCCAGACTTGCCACACTGGTGAAACTAAGACAGCGTCTAGGCCAGGCCTGTGGTGGGAAGCAAGGGACAGGTGACACAGCAGGAACAAGGCCGTCTGTCTTCAAGTTGCTCAGTGCACCTGGACAGAGTGTGAGTAAAAATTAGTCTAGGTGGCCTCTCAGGAAGAGCTCGAGGGACCGGGGATATAGCTCAGTAGAATAAATGCTTGCCTGGCAAGTGTAAGGTCCCAAGTTCAATCCCTGGTACCAAAAAAAAAAAAAAAAAAAAAAAAAGAGCTCGCTGTACCCTGGCAAAGCACCTGGCTTTACACTCTCCACACGTTATCATGGTGGCTTAACTGTCTTCTTTGCATTCTGGTTAGGGATGGCTGGGGTGTGCTCCTAGGCCCAGCTGTGTGATTTCAGCAAGTGACTGTCCCCATGGAGGCCAACGGGAATACTGTGTGCAAGGAGGCACCTGTATCGTGGCCTATGTGCTCACATGCGAGATTAAGATCTAGATAGTTTCCTCTGCTCTGTGTGCTTGCTAAGCATTCAAGGTGACGCTTGGCAAGCTCCCTGCTGGAGGCTGCTGCGTGGAAGGCCTTCAGTTGACCTCTCACACCCTGAAGTGGTTTATGATGACTGGTGGGCTCGGGCATTAGGGCACATGGTGAGGAGGATGTGCTGGAAAGGAGTGCGAGGCCTTGTGTGCCAGGCTGAGGGGTTAACCTGGGGTAGTGCAGCCACTGAGAGTTTTGAGAAGGGCAGGGACTTGGTTGTCACTTGTGAGGGGCCCAGCTGAGGCTGACCTCTCAGTGGGCTCCTTTCCACTGACTTGGCCCTTTCTGCATGGCACTAGGGAACCAGTGTGGAGACTCCAGGACCTCAGACTCACCTGGTGGCAGCTGTTCAGGCTCCTGGGGGTTCTGGGGTGCTTGGGTGTTTAGTCCATCGAGTTCTGTTCCACTTGGCACGGGAGCACCGGGCTGTAGAAATCCTCCCACTCTGGGTGTGTGCAAAGCAGCACTTTTGGCTCACTTGACTTTGCAGGTAGTGACTTCAGAGGTCTCCAGGGGCCTCCCTGGCAGAGGCAGGCTTCCTCTTTGTGTGTGTGTGTGTGTGGTTTTGGGGATTGAACTCAGAACCCTGCGCTTGCTTTATTCTACTGAGCTGTCTCCCCAGCCCAGGCTTCCTCTTTCCTACGTGCTCACCATGTGCTAGTGAGCACTGACCAAGTGCCACTTCCCTGAGCATCTTAAGCTCCTGCGGGAAAGTAGGGGTGATTTGCTCCCCATATTACAGATGAGCAAACAGGCTGGCAGGGTGAAGCAGTGCTCAGGGGCAGGGCCAGGCTGGCCTTTGGAGCCTGTGTGCTCGCACATCAGCTACCTGTGGTTGATTTTCTTTCCAGTGCTGGGGATAGAACCCAGGGCCTTGTGCAGACTAGACAAGCTCTCTACCGCTGAGCCTTCCCCATCCTTGGCCTGCTCTCTATGAATTTTTATTTGGCGTCATGAATCAAACTTAGGACTTCACTCGTGCCAGGCAGGTGCTGTGCTGCTGAGCTATAGCTCTGCGCTAGGCCCTACCTATGATTTCTGTCAGGCATAGGGGAAAGGGGCCCCATAGGCTCCTAGGAAAGACTGCAAGCACTGTGCTTTCCTGAGCCCAAGTGCCAGGATCACTGTGAAGAGAGGCTACCGACAGCCTCCACTCTCAGGCCACTGTGAGTAGCAACCTTGACCACAGAGTACTGGCATGAAGCTGGACATCAGTGGTCAGCCAGAAAGTGTCAAGCCCTTATAGTCAGGGGAGATGACCCGAGGAAGTGGCATTTGAACAGATGTGACAAACAGCTGACCACGTAACAAGCTGGGAAACAGTGCTGTTCCTCAAGGCAGGAGGGAGCCTGGTGTGTGCTGGGGAAGCGGGTGAAGGCTCACATGGTTTATTAGATGGAGAACGGAAGCGTCTAGGCAGACATGGGCAGGGCCTCACAGGTGGTGTTGGAACCATCAGTGGTAGGTCCTGCCAGTATTATTTTTCTCCAAATGCCACCCTATGATTAAGAACACAGATTCCATTCCCAGTTAATCCGGATGTCCAGTGCCCATCTTGCAAGTTCTGTAGTGGCCCAAGGTCATCGCGGCACCAGCTGGCTGGAACAGGAGAAGGATCCAATTGGGCACAGAATGCCACCCAAGAGTCTCAACCCTGCCCCAGTAGGGTTTTCCTAAGCTGTAGTGGAGGCAGAGGAAGTTGTGGCAACAGCTGGCAGGTCTCAAAGGTGGCCTCGGCTGTGAAATTCTTGGAGTTTAGCAGCTCCAAGGTGGAGTCTGAGCTGCTCTCTGGAGCAGCTCAGGGTTCTTGGCTTGTGGCATCCTGAGCCCTCTCGCTGCCACTGGGAGCACTGAACTGCATGTGGTGGGCATGGGGGATGCCAGGGCCTGAGGCCTTCACACTGAGCTACATTCTCATCCCTTTTTGTTTTGAGAGTCTTGTTAAGCCACCCAGCTGAGTTTGAACTCACAATTCTCCTGCCAGACTGCTGGGATTACAGGTATACACCACCGCGCCTAGCTAAACCGTGGCCATTATTATAGACAGGGAAGTGAGGCATAGGAAGACCAACGTAGAGGCTGGTGGTCACGTTTTTGTTTATCCCTTGTCTACCTCTGGGCTTTAGTTGATCTGACCACACGATGAGTGTGAAAAACCTGAAAGGCTTTTCTATCTCAGGGGTTTTTCTGGTTGTAAATCCCCAGGCAGGGCCACTTACTCTCCCAACGATAGTTTTTGTTGTTTTTTTTTTTATTGGGGGGGTGGGGTAGTTGGGGCTCGAACTCAGGACCTTGTGCTTGCCAGGTACACACTTCACTTATAATGCTGAGCTATTTCCCAAGCCCCAAGGACACTGTTCATCCTGCCTGTCCCCACCCCCTCCTCTGACTCAAGGAAAGTCCGTGTCCCTGCCTACTCCAAAATGAACTGCAGCCTCGAAACATCCTCCTGTGTCCACAAACACAGCAGGGATAAATGAAACTCCTTGGCCTTGCTCTGTAGCCTGCCTGCACTTCACCTGAGGAAGCCTCGCAGCAATCGGAAAAGGCAGACACTGCTCTTCTTCCATGTACTGATGATCAAACTGCGCTCAGAGGGAAAAGGACTTGCCCTCAGTTCTCTGGTAAAAAATGGAGGAGAGCGGAGTCCTTCTCTGGCCAACCTTAGAGCAGAGACAGGACAAGCGGCCGTTCAGGTAGGAGAGAATTTCTGTCTTCCATAGCCATGTGCAGCGGACGCCAGGCTTGAGGGAGGCTTTATTCAGACAATACCTGCCTTCCCTCTCAGGAACTGGGGGTAGCTCTCACTCCTGTGTGGACCCCCAGCCTGGGCCCTGGGAAACCCTGGCTGTAGGGAGGCGCCCCGAACAGGGTCTGGGGCCTGGGACAGTCCGCAGTGCTCCTAGACTGTGTCCCTTGTGCACCTGTGCTCTGGGCGGTCTCAGCTCCTGAGGAGCGGTGGCTGCTGCCCAGTCTTTGACCTCCTGCTTTGGCCCTCAGGGGCACAGGACAGCAGTTATGACAGTTATGATAAACGA